GACCTGCTGTGTTCCTTATATAGGAAACTTGTTACTGACTGGCTTAATGAACTGACCTGTGTTGGAATGTTTACAGTGTGCAGGTCCTTGAGACGACTCTGGTCCTGACTTGGTGCTTCATAAATAAACTTGAATTGAACTAGTTGTTTATAAATACACCTGGTGATTATTTGTAAACAACTAGATAATAAATGTAACTGGTCACTAGTTGTTTATAACTTTACCTGGTTACTAGTACACCTGCTGGTGATCTACTAGTGGTGAACTGCTGGTGATCTACTGGTAGTGATCAGCTGGTGGTGATCTGCTGGTCATGGTCTACTAGTGGTGATCTACTGTAGAGCTACTGGTAGGGAACTGCTGGTGATCAAGTGGTGGTGATCAGCTGTCTTAATCTATCAGCTGTCTTAATCTACCGGTAATGATCTACTGGTCGTGATCTACTACTGGTGATCTACTGTAGAGCTACAGGTGGTGAACTGCTGGTGATCTACAGGTGGTGACCTGCTGGTAGTGATCTACTGGTAATGATCTACTGGTGGTGATTTGCTGGTGATGATCTACTGGTGGTGAACTGCTGGTGATCTACTGGTGGCGATCTGCTGGTGACCTACTGGTAATGATCTACTTGTGGTGAACTGCTGGTGATCTACTGGTGGTGATCTGCTGGTGATCTACTGGTGGTGAACTGCTGGTGATCTACTGGTGGTGATCTGCTGGTGATCTACTGGTAATGATCTACTGGTGGTGATCTGCTGGTGATCTACTGCTGGTGATGATCTACTGGTAGTGAACTGCTGGTGATCTACTGCTGGTGGTGAACTACTGTTGATCTACTGGTAATGATCTGCTGGTGGTGATCTGCTGGTCATGGTCTACTAGTGGTTATCTACTGTAGAGCTACTGGTAGGGAACTGCTGGTGATCAAGTGGTGGTGATCAGCTGTCTTAATCTATCAGCTGTCTTAATCTACCAGTAGTGATCTACTGGTCGTGATCTACTACTGGTGATCTACTGTAGAGCTACAGGTGGTGAACTGCTGGTGATCTACTGGTGGTGACCTGCTGGTAGTGATCTACTGGTGGTGATCTGCTGATGGTGATCTACTGGTAATATGCTTGTGGTGATCTGCTGGTGATCTACTGGTAATGATCTACTGGTGGTGATCTGCTGGTGATGATCTACTGGTGGTGAACTGCTGGTGGTGAACTACTGTTGATCTACTGGTGGTGATCTGCTGGTGATCTACTTGTAATGATCTACTGGTGGTGAACTGCTGGTGATCTACTGCTGGTGGTGATCTGCTGGTAATGATCTACTGGTGGTGAACTGCTGGTGGTGAACTACTGTTGATCTACTGGTGGTGATCTGCTGGTGATCTACTTGTAATGATCTACTGGTGGTGATCTGCTGGTAATGATCTACTGGTGGTGATCTGCTGGTAATGATCTACTGGTGGTGAACTGCTGGTGGTGAACTACTGTTGATCTACTGGTGGTGATCTGCTGGTAATGATCTACTGGTGGTGAACTGCTGGTGGTGAACTACTGTTGATCTACTGGTGGTGATCTGCTGGTGATCTACTTGTAATGATCTACTGGTGGTGAACTGCTGGTGATTCACTGGTGTTGCCCAGAGCCAAGCTCAAAACTGGTGAGGATCATGCTTTTCCCGTGGTGGCCTCCAAACCCATGGAACTGCCTCCCTAGTGACATTAAGCCATCTAGCTGCCTTTGGAGTAACGGTGCATTAGAACTGCTCTTAAGGTCTCATAGTGGCATGTTTTGTTGGTTGTCAGTGGTCGTTTAATGTTGTTTTCAAGTAAGTCTTGGTTTTTGTCTCGCGTTTAAAACAGCGTGTTTGACTCAATGCATCCTATGTTGTTGTTGTATGAGCTAACGGTTCTGTGTTCAGCACCTTGGCTGGTGACAGGAAGGTAGTCTATACATAACTAAATAAAAAATGAGAGCTGGGCTGTGATTGGCTCAGGCACAGGAACAGGAGTGACTGACCATCCAATGAGAGCCAGTCGAGCTGAGAGCTGGGCAGAGAGCTGGCGTTCCTCGCTCTGTACTCAAACAGAACCGATGAGGAAACTGAACCTCTGGACTCCAGAACCTGCAGACACACCAGACCGGCCTCGTGGGCTGAAACAGAGTCCATCAGTGGTTTGGGTCAGACCCAGTGAGATGAGGGTTACGATCCACCTGATGTTAGGAACCCGGTAGAACCGGCTCAGAACTAAGGAGCACCTACCTGGACAGTAGCAGCGTAGGACTCCAGGCTGGATCAGAGATGCGGGGACAACATTCTGGTCAAACACACATGAGTATTGAGCTGAAGGCTCGCTCCACGGGCCGGTGATCAGAACCTTCACCCCCCCCTGGAGAGGAACCAGCAGAGGTCAGCTCACAGGTTAGGTAATGAACTTCTAGTTAACGTGTCGAGCTGAAAACACCCGCCTGCCCTGGGTTTCTACCTACAGTAACCAGCAGACCGGAACACTGTAGCTCCATCTAGAGGGAGCAGGTCTTTCAGCTGCTCGTCTACCGACAGGCCCTAAGCTCAGAGAACACCTACACCTGTCCTAAAGTCTCCTATTGTGTCACGTTTAAGATCTTACGGCTCCTCTCACGGAGCTCTAGGCACCCCTACCAAAGCTCCAGCTTCTTCTGGGCTTCTACGAGATGAACTGTGATGGCAGGATCTGCCACACAGGGGAAAGAGGAGTGATTTACATCATGTCACAACATTTATTTACGTTAACTTTTGGTTACAGATATGAACATATAAAAACATTTCTGTTTAGCTTTATTAAGTTGGGTCACATTCAGTAGACCTTGTTGAACCACAGTTTCTGTTGTGTAATGTTCAGTGTGTTTGTCTTGAGTTGCCAGTAAATTTCCCTGGGGACAACGAGGTGATGAGGCAGAGGGAGGAGCCAGAGCCGGCACTTCCTGAAAGGCCTTTTCCATTCTTAAAGTTGGTTCACTAACCGTCTATTTAATTTGAAGTGAATGAAACCCTAAGGACCAGACATAATACTGTTTTAGTGTTTAATGTTGTATTTGTGGTGCTGTCCCTCTCGTTGTAATGCACTGAGCAGCCAGCCCGTGTTTCCTGCTGGAAGGTCAGGTGCTTTGTTTGCTGCGGTTATGCTGCTGTACAGCTTTCTAGCTACGCTGACCTCTTTTAGGGGCCCCATCTAGTCGTTGTTGTTAAACTGGGTGAATAACACCCTGATTTTCCTGTGGCTCATTTAACACACAGTTCAGTCCCTGACAGGAAGTAAAACCTGGAGGTGACGGGACCTGTGGGCTACGCTGTTTACCTTTGGAAATCAGGTCAGCGCAGACTGTGACAACCTCTAAAGGAGTGCATGACGTGTTTAATCAACACATTTGCAGGGGTCTCCAGTGTGAATGAATGCCTCGCAGGCAGAACTCAGGAAGCATAAAAGCCTCAGCAGGTAAAAGTCTGCAACATCAAGAGAGCTTCAGACAGTAGGATCTCTGGTCTTACTTCCTGGTATGTGGACATCTCTCCTCTGATTGGCTAGCAGTGACACAAATCTACCACTGACTCTGTCTGCTCTGCAACGTTGATGTTTGATCTCCACCAACAAAGTTAAAGGCCCATAGTCATCGCTCACTGGTGGACGTCGTCCCCGGCTGTTTGGTGCTTTAATAGCACAAGCCTGGAGGAGTTCTGCTGTGTGGCGGAGCTGCTAATGCTAATGGTTAGCTTCTACTAGCTGAGACCTTCTCTGCTGTTTCCAGGACTAAACCAACAACAGCCTTCCCCGTGGTGAGTCAGATGGGTGAGTCCGTGGATGTCCACGAGTTAAAATGAAGACGCAGCAGAGGTTCTCGTAGCGAATGTCTGGTATGAGGCAGCGCCTAGGTTTCCTGTCCTCTTCTGTGCATTCGTACACACCTAGGTGTCACACAGGACTCTGCTGTTTCGTTTGAACGGCACTAAAGACATCTGGAAATGGTCAGTCGTGCTTCTCAGTGGCCTAGTGGTAGAGTATCCGCAGGCCAGGGTTCAAGTCCCGGTCGGACAATGGGACCCAACGCCTCCCTGCTTGACACTCGGCTTTAAGGGGTTGGATTGGGGTTAACCCAACAAAGGGTTCCCGAGCCCAGCCACAGCTGCAGCTCACCGCTCCTCTCCAGGGGGAGGGGTCACACGTGGAGATGTCGTTTCACCAGTGTGTGGTTCTCTGCTTTTGTTGGACTGCTGCAACAGTCTTACAGCTGGTCTAAACCTCAAGCAGCAAAAACCCTGCAGCAGACCATCGTCAGGACTTCATAAACATTCCCACCCGCCTCCTGTCCTGGCCGCGCCCCACTGGCTTCCTGTGACCTTATTTAAAATCCTGTCTTTAACTTTTAACGCCATGCATGGTCCGGCTCCCTCATATATAACCGACTTGGTGCAGACCTACACTCCTGAATGTTGCCTGAGATCAAAAGGTCACATGCTCCTGGCGGCCCCTGAAGCCCGGCGAAAGCGCCGTGGAACGCTCGTCCTCTCTCTCCTCTGAGTGTTTATAAAACTTGCTCACCTGGTTTTACCGCCCGTCCGGTCCTACGTACGTCATTCTGCTTTAATGTCAAGCGCTTAGTGAGAGTTATCTGTGGACCACTGTTTTACTACGTTTGGCTTGGTTTGACCCTTTGTTCAGCCGACACGTGACCATGACCTCATCAGTCTGAGCGTTCTGCTCTGTCTCCCTCACCCAGGCTGGCTTTGATGTGACCTCCTCGTCTTCCTCACCTGCTCCCTCTCATGCTGCTGTTTGTGCCTCACCTGTTTTCAGTCGTTCAGTCATTTATAAGTATGAATGGAGCCTTTGGTTTTCACCACTACACACACACCCTGCCCTCTTTCTCCCATCTACGACAGAGCTGCTTACCTCTGGGTACGACCACTCTGGAGAGAAGTCCGTGATGGAGGCGAGGCGTGTTGAGGACGAGGTGGGCAGAGGGTGAGGGAAAGGGAGGAAGGAGGAGGAGGGTGAGGGCTGTGGAGGCACCACGTATCGAACCCCCGTTGGGAACACGGCCGGGCTCGCTACTGGAGGCGGAGCGGCGGCGGGACTTGGCTCCTCGGTGATGAGGTCAGAGATGAGGTCAGGAAACTGGCTGTCGAACGAGATATCAAGCTCCTCCCCTCCACGCTCAGCAGGCTCCGCCTCCTCAGCTGAGTGTGTGTCCATGCATGCATCATCTGAGTTGTGGCTCCGCCTCCTCTCCTCCTTCACCTGGACTGGGGCCGTTGTTAGGGAAGTGGTATCCATGGCAACAGCTGTAGGAGGAGAGGGGGTGACGGACACCACATCATCCTTGGAATTAGCTGGAACTGACAACAGCTGCAGGTCTAGGGGCTGATGGGATATCCCAGCTGGGGGCGGAGCTTCAGATGTAGACATGTGATTGGTTTGAGCGAGGACCAGTATCTGCTGCCCATCAGGCTGTCCCTCCTTCTGATTGGTGGACGGAGGGGTCGGGCTCGGTGTGTCTTGACAAACCAAGAGCAGGGAGGCGGAGCTAGAATCCGTCTGTCGCCGTGGAGATGAGCTGGAGGGGGTGTGGTTTGTCTGAATCACACAGAGCAGACATGAGAGGAGGGACACGGTCAGAGGAAGTAGCTGTGGGGGGGGGGGCACTCACCTGCAGCAGTGCCAGCTTGGTGGGCGGAGCTCTACCTTCATCCTCAGACTGATCCTTCACCTCCTCGTCATCAACCCCAGCCTCCTCCCTCACCTCCTCACCCAGCTCGAGGCAGAGGGGGAGAATGGGCGGGGCCACAGAGGAGGTGGGAGAGAGGGTAAGGGCAAGGGAGGGCGGGAGGGAAGACGAAGGAGGGGAGACAGAGGAGGAAGGGGAGGTGGAGAGAGAGGAGAGGGAGGAAGGGGGAGACACAGAGGATGGAGGAGTAGATGTGGTGGGAGAGAGGGAAAGTGAGAGGGTGGGGTGAGAAAAGGGGGTGGTGGTGCTGACCTTAATGGGGGAGGAGCTGGGGAGAGGGCCACCGTAAGTCTGCCCCTGTGTGGGAGAGTTAAGGAAGGAGTCCGGGTCAAAGGCTGGGGTGATGAACGGGGGGAGTGAGGATGATGAAAGGGAGGAGGAGGGAGAGCAAAGGGAGGCTGCTGTAGGAGGGGAGGTGTTGGAGGAGGATGGGGTGAGGAGGAGGCCACTGATGACAGGCGAAGGAAGGAGGGTGAGGGAGAGGGTGGTTTGCACAGCGGGCGAGGGAAGGGATGGGGGGGCGGGTGAGGAGGCTGGAGGGGAGGGGGAGGCAGGCTTTCCAACAGGAGTGAGGGCGGGGGAAAGCAGCAGTGGACCAAAGCTCGTCCTCTGCCCCGCCTCCTCAGCCCTGACCCCGCACACCTGCCCCCCTCCTCCTCCTGGGAGGGCAGTGGTCGTTGCCATGACGATGACAGCGTTCTGAGGCAGAGCCACCGCAGCCATGCTACTGTGGTGGTCGCTGTAGAAGCCGTTACCATGGTTACCCATGCTGATGGTGGGGGACGAGGCGGAGCTGTGGAGAAAGAGCGGGTCAGACTGGGTTCTCTGGTTCTGGTACCAGGGTCAGTCTGACCCTGTTAAGCTACACCCAACCAGGCCGGGTTCTGGTCTGGTGAGGGGAACTTACGTGGACGAGGGACTGGGGGATGAGACGGGGCTGCTCTGAGCCTGCAGGTGAGGCAGTTTGGGCTCCCCCGCCCCCTGGCCTGCCTCCCCCAGCTCAGAAGAGAGGGGGGAGGGGGCGAGCCTGCCACAGGATGGCGGGAGCTTGGGGGAGATTATCCGGTGCTTGGTGCTGTTGCAGCGGTGAGGAATGTTTGCTCCAGAGGACACTGAGGACGGAGACAGAACCTGGTGGGGTCAGAGACCAGCAGCTGTGATGTCACTGTGATGTCATACTCCCGTCTTACCCTGGTTGGTGTTACAGAGACAGGTGTGTGTGCGGGGCTGAGGTTTGGTTCTCTGTCGATCCAGCAGGTGCTGAACCAGCTCCTCGATGCTGAAGTCTCCAGAACCCAGAGAGCACTTGACACTGTGGACTAAAGCAAGGAGACGTTAGAAACAGCACGCTCGGACCGGCGAACACGCTAAGACCGGCGAACACGCTAAGACCGGCGAACATGCTAAGACAGGCGAACATGCTCGGACCGGCAAACACGCTAAGACCGGCGAACACGCTAAGACCGGCGAACGCGCTCGGACCGGCAAACACGCTAAGACCGGCGAACACGCTAAGACCGGCGAACATGCTAAGACAGGCGAACATGCTAAGACCGGCGAACACGCTAAGACCGGCGAACATGCTAAGACAGGCGAACATGCTCGGACCGGCAAACACGCTAAGACCGGCAAACATGCTAAGACAGGCGAACATGCTTGGACCGGTGAACACGCTTAGACCGGCGAACACGCTCAGACCGGCAAACACGCTCGGACCGGCAAACATGCTAAGACAGGCGAACATGCTCGGACTGGCAAACACGCTAAGACCGGCGAACATGCTCGGACCGGTGAACACTCTTAGACCGGCGAACACGCTCGGACCGGCAAACATGCTAAGACCAGTGAACAAGCTCGGACCGGCGAACACGCTAAGACCAGGGAACACGCTCGGACCGGCGAACACGCTAAGACCAGCGAACACGCTCGGACCGGCGAACACGCTAAGACCGGCGAACATGCTTGGACCGACGAACACGTTAAGACCGGCAAACATGCTTGGACCGGCGAACACGTTAAGACCGGCGAACACGCTAAGACAGGCGAGCACGCTCAGGCTGGCGAACGTGTTAAGACCGCTGAACACGCTAAGACAGGCGAGCACGCTCAGGCTGGCGAAAGTGTTAAGACCGCTGAACACGCTAAGACAGGCGAGCACGCTCAGGCTGGCGAACGTGTTAAGACCGCTGAACATGCTCAGACTGGCGCTCAGACCGCTGAACACGCTCAGACCGCTGAACACGCTCAGACTGGCGCTCAAACTGCTGAACATGTTCAGACTGGTGCTCAGACCGCTGAACACGCTCAGACTGGCGCTCAGACCGCTGAACACGCTCAGACTGGCGCTCAGACCGCTGAACACGCTCAGACTGGCGCTCAGACCGCTGAACACGCTCAGACTGGCGCTCAGACCGCTGAACACGCTCAGACTGCTGAACACGCTCAGACCGCTGAACACGCTCAGACCGCTGAACACGCTCAGACTGCTGAACACGCTCAGACCGCTGAACACGCTCAGACTGGCGCTCAAACCGCTGAACATGCTCAGACTGGCGCTCAGACCGCTGAACACGCTCAGACTGGCGCTCAGACCGCTGAACACGCTCAGACTGGCGCTCAGACCGCTGAACACGCTCAGACTGGCGCTCAGACCGCTGAACACGCTCAGACTGGCGCTCAGACCGCTGAACACGCTCAGACTGCTGAACACGCTCAGACCGCTGAACACGCTCAGACCGCTGAACACGCTCAGACTGCTGAACACGCTCAGACCGCTGAACACGCTCAGACTGGCGCTCAAACCGCTGAACATGCTCAGACTGGCGCTCAGACCGCTGAACACGCTCAGACTGGCGCTCAGACCGCTGAACACGCTCAGACTGGCGCTCAGACCGCTGAACACGCTCAGACTGCTGAACACGCTCAGACCGCTGAACACGCTCAGACCGCTGAACACGCTCAGACTGGCGCTCAAACCGCTGAACACGCTCAGACTGGCGCTCAGACCGCTGAACACGCTCAGACTGGCGCTCAGACCGCTGAACACGCTCAGACTGGCGCTCAGACCGCTGAACACGCTCAAACTGCTGAACACGCTCAGACTGCTGAACACGCTCAGACCACTGAACACGCTCAGACTGGCGCTCAAACTGCTGAACATGCTCAGACTGGCGCTCAGACCGCTGAACACGCTCAGACTGCTGAACACGCTCAGACCGCTGAACACACTCAGACCGCTGAACACGCTCAGACCGCTGAACACGCTCAGACCGCTGAACACGCTCAGACTGCTGAACACAATCAGACCGCTGAACACGCTCAGACTGGCGCTCAAACTGCTGAACATGCTCAGACTGGCACTCAGACCGCTGAACACGCTCAGACCGCTGAACACGCTCAGACTGGCGCTCAAACTGCTGAACATGCTCAGACTGGCACTCAGACCGCTGAACACGCTCAGACAGCTGAACACGCTCAGACTGCTGAACACGCTCAGACAGCTGAACACGCTCAGACCGCTGAACACGCTCAAACTGCTGAACATGCTCAGACTGGCGCTCAAACTGCTGAACATGCTCAGACTGGTGCTCAGACCGCTGAACACACTCAGACTGGCGCTCAGACCGCTGAACACACTCAGACTGGCGCTCAGACCGCTGAACACGCTCAGACTGGCGCTCAGACCGCTGAACACGCTCAGACTGGCGCTCAGACCGCTGAACACGCTCAGACTGCTGAACACGCTCAGACCGTTGAACACGCTCAGACTGGCGCTCAAACCGCTGAACATGCTCAGACTGCTGAACACGCTCAGACTGGCGCTCAGACCGCTGAACACGCTCAGACTGGCGCTCAGACCGCTGAACACGCTCAGACTGCTGAACACGCTCAGACCGTTGAACACGCTCAGACTGGCGCTCAAACCGCTGAACATGCGCAGACTGCTGAACACGCTCAGACTGGCGCTCAAACTGCTGAACATGCTCAGACTGGCGCTCAGACCGCTGAACACGCTCAGACTGCTGAACACGCTCAGACTGGCGCTCAGACCGCTGAACACGCTCAGACTGCTGAACACGCTCAGACTGGCGCTCAGACCGCTGAACACGCTCAGACCGCTGAACATGCTCAGACTGCTGAACACGTTCAGACTGCTGAACACGCTCAGACCGCTGAACACGCTCAGACTGGCGCTCAGACCGCTGAACACGCTCAGACCGCTGAACACGTTCAGACTGCTGAACACGCTCAGACTGGCGCTCAAACTGCTGAACATGCTCAGACTGGCGCTCAGACCGCTGAACACGCTCAGACTGCTGAACACGCTCAGACCGCTGAACACGCTCAGACTGGCGCTCAGACCGCTGAACACGCTCAGACCGCTGAACATGCTCAGACTGGCGCTCAAACTGCTGAACATGCTCAGACTGGCGCTCAGACCGCTGAACACGCTCAGACTGCTGAACACGCTCAGACCGCTGAACACGCTCAGACTGGCGCTCAGACCACTGAACACGCTCAGACCGCTGAACACGTTCAGACTGCTGAACACGCTCAGACTGGCGCTCAAACTGCTGAACATGCTCAGACTGGCGCTCAGACCGCTGAACACGCTCAGACTGCTGAACACGCTCAGACCGCTGAACACGCTCAGACTGGCGCTCAGACCGCTGAACACGTTCAGACTGCTGAACACGCTCAGACTGGCGCTCAAACTGCTGAACATGCTCAGACTGGCGCTCAGACCGCTGAACACGCTCAGACTGCTGAACACGCGCAGACCGCTGAACACGCTCAGACCGCTGAACACGCTCAGACTGGCGCTCAGACTGCTGAACACGTTCAGACTGCTGAACACGCTCAGACCGCTGAACACGCTCAGACTGGCGCTCAGACCGCTGAACACGCTCAGACTGGCGCTCAGACCGCTGAACACGCTCAGACCGCTGAACACGCTCAGACTGCTGAACATGCTCAGACTGGCGCTCAGACCGCTGAACACGCTCAGACTGCTGAACACGCTCAGACTGGCGCTCAGACCGCTGAACACGCTCAGACCGCTGAACATGCTCAGACTGCTGAACACGCTCAGACCGCTGAACATGCTCAGACTGCTGAACACGCTCAGACTGGCGCTCAGACCGCTGAACACGCTCAGACCGCTGAACACGCTCAGACCGCTGAACACGCTCAGACCGCTGAACACGCTCAGACTGCTGAACACGCTCAGACCGCTGAACACGCTCAGACTGCTGAACACGCTCAGACCGCTGAACATGCTCAGACCGCTGAACACGCTCAGACCGCTGAACATGCTCAGACTGCTGAACACGCTCAGACCGCTGAACATGCTCAGACTGCTGAACACGCTCAGACTGCTGAACACGCTCAGACTGGCGCTCAGACCGCTGAACACGCTCAGACCGCTGAACACGCTCAGACCGCTGAACACGCTCAGACCGCTGAACACGCTCAGACTGCTGAACACGCTCAGACCGCTGAACATGCTCAGACTGGCGCTCAGACCGCTGAACACGCTCAGACCGCTGAACATGCTCAGACTGCTGAACACGCTCAGACCGCTGAACACGCTCAGACTGCTGAACACGCTCAGACTGCTGAACACGCTCAGACCGCTGAACACGCTCAGACTGCTGAACACGCTCAGACCGCTGAACACGCTCAGACCGCTGAACACGCTCAGACTGCTGAACACGCATGGACCAGCGAGTACATTAGAAACAGCATGCACTGCTCAGGAACCTACACATGGGCTTCAGCTGGCTCAGCAGGTCATCTCGGTTCCACCTGGCACTGTCATGGCGGTCGGACACAGTACATAAAAGTGGACTGCATTTCCCAGAATCCTCCAGTGATGGTACATTCAGGTAGTGGACCAGAACGATGTCTGGATTCTGCCACAGGGAGAAACTTCATTATAAACCCACACAGAACATGGCAGAGGTGTTGTCTCAGAACCCCAGACTGAACAGGAACCACGCTGGCTGCAGCTCTACGAGAACCTACTATGCCTGTGAGAACTACGGGTCCGTACTAAAATCTGTGTTTATTTATGCTATGATAGGAATGTTTTTTACAGCGCTGTATCGGCGTCTAGATTGTTGGCAGTGGGGAGGTGTTTCAGTGACCAGTTTCACTGCTACACACTGTAGTTTTGAGGAAACACTTACCATGCTAACCTCAAAGCTAGCGGAGGTATATGGAATGCCAACAGGGCAAAAACACGTGAAAAACTTCCCACAAGTATGCTTTGTTAACGTACAACAAAAGGTAACGACAGCGTATACTGTACGCGTCACGTGAAGTCACCCCATGGACAACACAAAAAAAAACACTAACTATTCGCTAACCATTAGCATCACCATGTGACGTGCCGATTCAAACGTTCATAAAAAGTTATGAATAAATGCCAGAAAACAGCCGCAAAACGTTGCAGGAACATAAAAGTAGCGTGTGCTGCCCGGACATTTGAGGAGATGGACTGCTGGCGCCAAAAAGGTCAAGAGGTCATCCCACAGGACCAGTGGCAAAAAACAGCAATGGCCGCAGCTTGTTTGTTAGCCGTAGCCACTGGGCGTGAGATTAACTTGTCAGGATTCAAGTCAAGCTGAGTAAAACGAAAGTAAATCAGCAACACTGCCAGAATTATACAGCACCCCACACATTTCCATCCCAGGTCAGCCGGTGGTTGTTCCTCCTGACCAGCCAACAACCCAGGAACTTCAGCCTCCTCCGTACAACTACGGCGGTAGCCTGGTGCAGAGCTGCGGCAGCACCGGGGAGCATTAGGTGGTTTATTAGCGGGATGGACAGCCGTGTTAACCTCCGTGGTTTTCCTGTGTAAATCGCTGTTATGATAAAACACATGGGTTCATTACAGCATAGAGACGACTCACACAGCGGTGTTTGGGAAGTGAAGTGGCTGTTAGCACCAGGGCTACAAGCTAGCACGTACAGTCCTGATCTCTGACTGAGAACCAGCGCTCCAGCACCAGGACAGACCGCTGTCTCAGTGAGACAGGAGGAAGCTGTGTGCTTCATGTCAGAGTCTCCTAGCAACACAGCTCACGGCCACCAGCCTACTGAAGGCCTGAGACACGGCTTCAGCAGCTCTGCGTTGCTACCTGCGGCTTTAGCACTCATTTATGATTATGTTATTAGTTTTTAAACATCAACTGGGTTGGATCTCCGTACTACAGCCATAGTAACCGGCCCGGAAGACCACTTGTCCCACGGTCTCGATTAAAGAGTGTGTGTGTGTGTGTGTGTGTGTGCGTGTGTGTGTGTGTGTGTGTGTGTATGTGTGTGTGTGTGTGTGTGCGTGTGTGAGACACCGACCTGCAGCAGCCAGTAGCATCGTCTGTGGAATGTTGGCACAATGGAGGAATGGACGTAGCAACCGTAGAGGCACTGAAAGAAGACATGATGGATCAGCAGCACACCATCAGGGTCCAACAGAAGCCACACATCTGAGCCCTGAGCATGGTCTGCAGGCATGTCTTACTCCAGAAGGGCTCTCTAGGAGTCAGACTGACTCAGCCCAGTCCTGACAGACGGCACTGAGGGCTGGAGGTGATTCACCACTATCAGACCCATCCAGACCACCTGGACTCAGAAGCTACACTGAACACTAAAGCCGGACGTACACGGTGCGACTTTTTCACCTTTTTGAGCCGATTTTCCACTCGTGCGAGAATCCACGAGATCGGGGTGAGTTTAGCGCTGAGCATCGTGTAGTGTACAGGGGTCACGAGAGGTGATCAACACCACGTGACCAGCTGCCGATCAGCAGTCGTGAGGTCGCACGGACTTCTGGCGTGTTTAATATTTCGCTCGTCCCTCGTGAGGGTATTGCACTGTTGAAGCGGCGCTGCGAGCAGCTGCGACCCAAAAAGTACCAGAACCGCTCACGGCGCATGCACAATCCTGCATCAACACCGCTCGCCGCTATTTCCCTAATAACACACGCTGTTCGTTTTTGTTTCTACACGTTTTTTTACTCACAAAGAAAGCGTGTTTGTCGTGTTCATGTCAAATTAAACTGATCACTAAACTCAGATTTACTTTCTTTATTTCGTTTTGCTCACCCAACCCCCATAAATCCCTGTGTGTCCTCCTGCAGCACTCCCGCAGGACAACAGGCAAAACAGAAAAGTCTGGCGTGTTGAGTAAAAACTGCTATTTTTAGCACATTTTAGGGCCGACGTGTTGCTACCAGACGTGCAGCGTGAGCAGTCAGGTCACACCCGAGAACTGGGTCGTGCAGTGTGAGCACACGACTCGTGAGATCTGCCCTGCGAGGACGTCGTACAGTCTGAGCTGAAGCTGAGTGCTGCGAGTGAACAAGTCACACAGTGTCCGCCCGGCTTCAGATGGAGGACACAGCTTCATGTGAGGGGCTGACATACCTCCATGCCCTGGACCTTCAGCTTCATGTGGTCCTCTCTTGTGGTTTTTCCATCCTTCCTTTTCTTCCAGCAGTACCCGTCCTTCCTGTACTTCACCTTCTTTCTGTTGTACAGGATGACACTGCCATTCTTGGGCCTGGCGCACACACACACACACGTTTTTCATTAGAAGGGAGAGCTGAGCCCTCAGTCCTGTCTGACTGGCACATACGGGAGTGTACCTGGTCTTCAAGGTGCAGGAGAGCCACTCATCATGTCTCTCAAAAGATATCAGGTAGGAGGTGATCTCCTGCAGAGCAAACACACCGTTACTGAGGAGGCTCCACCCCTCAGAAGCTCCAGCTGAGCTTCTCTGTACCACATCAGAACCATGAGGACAAACCCATGTGCTTCTGTGTGAGAAGGCCACGTTCACCTGTGAAAGCCATGATCCTGTCTCACCTGTCTGCTGTAAGCCAGTCTGCTGTAAAAGCTGCCCTGAGTCTACAACAAGCCCTACAGGTCCTGGCCCAAACACCAGTGAAGTGGCACCACTAACGCACAGCACATCTCCTGCATCTCCTCACACGTGGAAGCTTCTTAAAACCCACATGCAAACATCTGGAAGGCCTTGTCCCAGAGCTGGAACACCTGGAATCTCAACAACCCCGTTAACTCGGAGCTGCTGGCTCCCAGCTGGAGAGAGGGCCCGACTAGAACAGCCTGTGAGCACTGATGCTCCCTACCAGCTACTCCTTTACTCACACTCTGTGTGTGTGTGTGTGTGTGTGTGTGGGGGGGGGGGGGGGGGGGGTGTACCTCGTTAGTGTTCCACCTGAGACGCTCGTTAGGTAGACAGGAGGAATGAGGGAGACACTCCAGCAGCTTGTTGGGGAGAAACACTTTCCTCTGTCCTTTATTCTCTACACACACACACACACACACACACGCACGCACGCACGCACGCACACACACACGCACGCACGCACGCACGCACACACACACACGCACGCACACACACACACACACACACAGGTCAGAAAGATCAACAGAACCAGAACATCTGGGTTTTATTAACCACAACATGAGTGATTAAACTACATCTGCCACTGGTTCAACCCTGACCCCTGACCCTGGGTCAGGGTCAGGGGTCAGGGTCATTCAGTCACAAGTCTGCTGTTGGGTAGAAGTCAGCTGGGTTTGTGCTCCCAGTTACCAGGTAAACATATACATGTTTAGTTAGCCTGTTCAGCCTCTAGTAAGTCATGGTTTCATTAGTATTACAGTCTGAGTCACTAGGGTTAGCCCTGACCCCACTGAGGGTTAGCCCTGACCCTACTGAGGGCTAGCCCTGACCCTACTGAGGGCTAGCCCTGACCCCACTGAGGGCTAGCCCTGACCCTACTGAGGGTTAGCCCTGACCCCACTGAGGGCTAGCCCTGACCCTACTGAGGGTTAGCCCTGACCCTACTGAGGGCTAGCCCTGACCCTACTGAGGGCTAGCCCTGACCCTACTGAGGGTTAGCCCTGACCCTACTGAGGGCTAGCCCTGACCCTACTGAGGGTTAGCCCTGACCCTACTGAGGGCTAGCCCTGACCCTACTGAGGGCTAGCCCTGACCCCACTGAGGGTTAGCCCTGACCCCACTGAGGGTTAGCCCTGACCCCACTGAGGGTTAGCCCTGACCCCACTGAGGGTTAGCCCTGACCCTACTGAGGGCTAGCCCTGACCCTACTGAGGGCTAGCCCTGACCCTACTGAGGGCTAGCCCTGACCCCACTGAGGGTTAGCCCTGACCCTACTGAGGGCTAGCCCTGACCCTACTGAGGGTTAGCCCTGACCCCACTGAGGGTTAGCCCTGACCCTACTGAGGGCTAGCCCTGACCCTACTGAGGGCTAGCCCTGACCCTACTGAGGGCTAGCCCTGACCCCACTGAGGGCTAGCCCTGACCCTACTGAGGGCTAGCCCTGACCCCACTGAGGGTTAGCCCTGACCCTACTGAGGGTTAGCCCTGACCCCACTGAGGGTTAGCCCTGACCCCACTGAGGGTTAGCCCTGACCCCACTGAGGGTTAGCCCTGACCCCACTGAGGGTTAGCCCTGACCCCACTGAGGGTTAGCCCTGACCCCACTGAGGGTTAGCCCTGACCCCACTGAGGGTTAGCCCTGACCCCACTGAGGGTTAGCCCTGACCCTACTGAGGGTTAGCCCTGACCCTACTGAGGGTTAGCCCTGACCCTACTGAGGGTTAGGCCTGACCCCACTGAGGGTTAGGCCTGACCCTACTGAGGGTTAGCCCTGACCCCACTGAGGGTTAGCCCTGACCCCACTGAGGGTTAGCCCTGACCCTACTGAGGGTTAGCCCTGACCCTACTGAGGGTTAGCCCTGACCCCACTGAGGGTTAGCCCTGACCCCACTGAGGGTTAGCCCTGACCCCACTGAGGGTTAGCCCTGACCCCACTGAGGGTTAGCCCTGACCCCACTGAGGGTTAGCCCTGACCCTACTGAGGGTTAGCCCTGACCCTACTGAGGGTTAGCCCTGACCCTACTGAGGGTTAGCCCTGACCCCACTGAGGGTTAGCCCTGACCCTACTGAGGGTTAGCCCTGACCCTACTGAGGGCTAGCCCTGACCCTACTGAGGGCTAGCCCTGACCCTACTGAGGGTTAGCCCTGACCCTACTGAGGGCTAGCCCTGACCCTACTGAGGGCTAGCCCTGACCCCACTGAGGGTTAGCCCTGACCCCACTGAGGGTTAGCCCTGACCCCACTGAGGGTTAGCCCTGACCCCACTGAGGGTTAGCCCTGACCCCACTGAGGGTTAGCCCTGACCCCACTGAGGGTTAGCCCTGACCCCACTGAGGGTTAGCCCTGACCCTACTGAGGGTTAGCCCTGACCCTACTGAGGGTTAGCCCTGACCCTACTGAGGGTTAGCCCTGACCCTACTGAGGGTTAGCCCTGACCCCACTGAGGGTTAGGCCTGACCCCACTGAGGGTTAGCCCTGACCCCACTGAGGGTTAGCCCTGACCCTACTGAGGGTTAGCCCTGACCCTACTGAGGGTTAGCCCTGACCCCACTGAGGGTTAGCCCTGACCCCACTGAGGGTTAGCCCTGACCCCACTGAGGGTTAGCCCTGACCCCACTGAGGGTTAGCCCTGACCCCACTGAGGGTTAGCCCTGACCCTACTGAGGGTTAGCCCTGACCCCACTGAGGGTTAGCCCTGACCCTACTGAGGGTTAGCCCTGACCCCACTGAGGGTTAGCCCTGACCCCACTGAGGGTTAGCCCTGACCCCACTGAGGGTTAGCCCTGACCCTACTGAGGGTTAGCCCTGACCCTACTGAGGGTTAGCCCTGACCCTACTGAGGGTTAGGCCTGACCCCACTGAGGGTTAGGCCTGACCCTACTGAGGGTTAGCCCTGACCCCACTGAGGGTTAGCCCTGACCCCACTGAGGGTTAGCCCTGACCCTACTGAGGGTTAGCCCTGACCCTACTGAGGGTTAGCCCTGACCCTACTGAGGGTTAGCCCTGACCCCACTGAGGGTTAGCCCTGACCCCACTGAGGGTTAGCCCTGACCCCACTGAGGGTTAGCCCTGACCCTACTGAGGGTTAGCCCTGACCCTACTGAGGGTTAGCCCTGACCCTACTGAGGGTTAGCCCTGACCCTACTGAGGGTTAGCCCTGACCCCACTGAGGGCTAGCCCTGACCCTACTGAGGGTTAGCCCTGACCCTACTGAGGGCTAGCCCTGACCCTACTGAGGGTTAGCCCTGACCCTACTGAGGGTTAGCCCTGACCCCACTGAGGGATAGCCCTGACCCCACTGAGGGATAGCCCTGACCCCACTGAGGGTTAGCCCTGACCCCACTGAGGGTTAGCCCTGACCCCACTGAGGGTTAGCCCTGACCCCACTGAGGGTTAGCCCTGACCCTACTGAGGGTTAGCCCTGACCCCACTGAGGGTTAGCCCTGACCCCACTGAGGGCTAGCCCTGACCCTACTGAGGGTTAGGCCTGACCCTACTGAGGGTTAGCCCTGACCCTACTGAGGGTTAGCCCTGACCCCACTGAGGGTTAGCCCTGACCCCACTGAGGGTTAGCCCTGACCCCACTGAGGGTTAGCCCTGACCCCACTGAGGGTTAGCCCTGACCCCACTGAGGGTTAGCCCTGACCCCACTGAGGGTTAGCCCTGACCCCACTGAGGGCTAGCCCTGACCCTACTGAGGGTTAGGCCTGACCCTACTGAGGGTTAGCCCTGACCCTACTGAGGGTTAGCCCTGACCCTACTGAGGGTTAGCCCTGACCCCACTGAGGGTTAGCCCTGACCCCACTGAGGGTTAGCCCTGACCCTACTGAGGGTTAGCCCTGACCCCACTGAGGGTTAGCCCTGACCCCACTGAGGGTTAGCCCTGACCCTACTGAGGGTTAGCCCTGACCCCACTGAGGGTTAGCCCTGACCCTACTGAGGGTTAGGCCTGACCCTACTGAGGGTTAGCCCTGACCCTACTGAGGGTTAGCCCTGACCCTACTGAGGGTTAGCCCTGACCCCACTGAGGGTTAGCCCTGACCCTACTGAGGGTTAGCCCTGACCCTACTGAGGGTTAGCCCTGACCCTACTGAGGGTTAGCCCTGACCCTACTGAGGGTTAGCCCTGGCTCCACTGGGATAATGCTGCATCTGTGCTACTAGTCTGTAGCACACCAAGACAGAGTCACATGACCTTCCTGAGACACGTGTGTGGCTGACGCTTTTACAAACTCGGTATAAAATGCTAAAATGTACTTGAGTTGTTTTTAGTGCCATTATGGTGGCATGATCTCATTTAGCTGTAAGCCAGAATGAAAGGGGTCCTAACGTGGGTTGTGTGGCATTGCTACGGGAACAGGTTTGGAAATGGGGTTAAAGTTCAGTGACGTGTTTGTGTTTAAAAGCTTGTTCTGCTGTTTTGCTGTTGCAGCTTTAAATGTTAAAATGGCTTGCTGTACTGGCTTGTTATGGACCGGTCTCCAGCATGTCCGTGTCTGCTTCAGCACACCTGGTTCACATCTGCACTGGCTCCTCAGCAGCAGACGCCATGTTTGAGAGGGCAGCGTGGACAACCGCACAGGAGACCTCACCGGGGTTCAGTCACAGCGTTCACCACCGCCTGTTAGGCCTTGCTCAAGGGTACTAAACCAGACTGGGTTCTCAACACCTGTGTAACGCCTGTACGTTTCCATGGAAACGCAGCTAGAGGTGGCAGGCAGGTGAGTAGGACTGACCTGTCTCCGTGGAAACCATCTCCCCGTTGCTCATGGTGACGAGTCCATGAAGGATGGGTCTCACACTACAGACGGCCACCTGCACACCACACACACACACACACACACACATCAGTGAGAAACTAAATGTAGAAGGTCCTGGGAGGTGGGGAGACGGGTCGGACAGTCGAACCAGGAGGAGAAATGTGGTTTTTATCCTGGCCGTGGAACACTGCACCACTTCTAGAGGGAGCCTTAGGCTCCTCCCCTTTGCGGTCGGCTCATGGGTCCCTGAACGGGGCTAAAGGGCTATTTTCTAACCCGCGTTGCCTTAGACCCTGGGTCACACATATGTTGAGCTTCTGTTTAAATGAAAACTAATGATGGGCGTTTGGACCACACCAGGCACGTACTCAGCTTGTAAATGTTCGTAACTACACAGCATCACCGGCACGCTGCATATGTGACGCCAGTCTCCTCTGCTTAGACTTGGAGAGGGTGTTGGCACCGCGTCCACCGGGTGCCCTGTGGGGGTCACCCTAAGCCCAACCAGGCCCTGTGATGGGGCTGCCAGGCCCCTGCATGACCTAGCCAGAGCTTGGTCCACATAGCCGGCTGTAGGGCTGGGCGGCATGACGGTACGTGGAGGACTCCAGCTGGACAACCATACATGACGACAGCTACAGGTGTGTGCAGAGACTAAGGTGTCCACTAGAGGGGGCTGTCACCTGTTTTACATAGAGTCACATTCCTTAAAGGGACACGATCACTGCCAACCTACACACACTTTCATTTTTCTATCTGTTATTATTATTATTATTAATATTATTAATTACTATTAATTACTATTAATTGTGTATACACACACACACACATATTAAACACACACACACACATTATAAACGCACACATATTATACACACACACATTATACACAGACACACACATATTATACACACACTTTCATTTTTCTATCTGTTATTATTATTATTATTAATATTATTAATTACTATTAATTACTATTAATTGTGTATACACACACACACACATATTAAACACACACACACACATTATAAACGCACACATATTATACACACACACATTATACACAGACACACACATATTATACACACACTTTCATTTTTCTATCTGTTATTATTATTATTATTAATATTATTAATTACTATTAATTGTGTATACACACACACATTATAAACGCACACACATTATACACACACACACTATACACACACACATATTATACACACACTTTCATTTTTCTATCTGTTATTATTATTATTAATATGGTAAATGGCCTGTATTTGATATAGCGCCTTCTAGAGTCCTGGAACCCCCCAAGGCGCTTTACAACACAATCAGTCATTCATTCATTCACACACACATTCACACACTGGTGGGGAAGAGCTACAATGTAGCCACAGCTGCCCTGGGGCGCACTGACAGAGGCGAGGCTGCCGAGCACTGGCGCCACCGGTCCCTCCGACCATCACCAGCAGGCAAGGTGGGCTAAGTGTCTTGCCCAAGGACACAACAGCAGCGACAGACTGAGCGGGGCTCGAACCTGCAACCTTCCAATTACGGGGCGAGCACGTAACTCCTGTGCCACCGTCGCCCATTAATATTATTAATTACTATTAATTGTGTATACACACACACACATTATAAACGCACACACATTATACACACACACATTATACACACACACACACACTATACACACACACATTATACACACACACACACTATACACACACACATTATACACACACACATTATACACACACACATTATACACACACACATTATACACACACACACACATTATAAACGCACACACATTATACACACACACACTATACACACACACATTATACACACACACACTATACACACACACATTATACACACACACATTATACACACACACATTATACACACACACACACACTAAACACACACACACACATTATAAACGCACACACATTATACACACACACATTATACACACACACACACACTAAACACACACACATTATACACACACACATTATACACACACACATTATACACACACACACACATTATACACACACACACATTATACACACACACATTATAAACGCACACACATTATACACACACACATTATACACACACACACATTAGACACACACACATTATAAACGCACACACATTATACACACACACATTATACACACACACACACACTATACACACACACATTATACACACACACATTATACACACACACATTATACACACACACATTATACACACACACACATTATACACACACACATTATAAACGCACACATTATACACACACACATTATACACACACACACATATTATACACACACACACACACTATACACACACACATTATACACACACACATTATACACACACACATTATACACACACACATTATACACACACACACATATTATACACACACACACACACTATACACACACACATTATACACACACACATTATACACACACACATTATACACACACACATTATACACACACACATTATACACACACACACATATTATACACACACACACACACTATACACACACACATTATACACACACACATTATACACACACACATTATACACACACACATTATACACACACACACATATTATACACACACACACACACTATACACACACACATTATACACACACACATTATACACACACACACACATTATACACACACACATTATACACACACACACATTATACACACACACATTATAAACGCACACACATTATACACACACACATTATACACACACACACACACACTATACACACACACATTATACACACACACATTATACACACACACACACACACACTATACACACACACATTATACACACACACACACACACTATACACACACACATTATACACACACACATTATACACACACACATTATACACACACACATTATACACACACACACACACACTATACACACACACATTATACACACACACATTATACACACACACACACACACACACTATACACACACACATTATACACACACACATTATACACACACACATTATACACACACACATATTATACACACACACATATTATACACACACACATTATACACAGACCCACACATATTATACATACACACACTATACACACACACATATTATACACACACACATTATACACAGACACACACATATTATACATACACACACTATACACACACACTATACACACACACACATTATACACAGACACACACATATTATACACACACACATATTATACATACACACATTATACACAGACACACACATATTATACACACACACACATATTATACACACACACACATTATACACACACACACATATTATACACACACATATTATACACACACACATTATACACACACACACACACACTATACACACACACATTATACATACACACATTATACACACACACATTATACACACACACACACACATATTATACACACACATATTATACACACACACATTATACACACACACACACATATTATACACACACACACATTATACACACACACACATATTATACACACACACACACATATTATACACACACATATTATACACACACACACACACACACTATACACACACACATTATACACACACATATTATACACACACACACACATATTATACACAAACATATTATACACACACACATTATACACACACACACATATTATACACACACATATTATACACACACACATTATACACACACACACACACTATACACACACACATTATACACACACACATTATACACACACACATTATACACACACACATACACATTATACACACACACACACACTATACACACACACATTATACACACACACATTATACACACACACACACACATTATGCACACACACACACACTATACACACACACATTATACACACACACATTATACACACACACATTATACACACACACACACACATTATACACACACACATATTATACACACACACATTATACACACACACACACACACAATACACACACACATTATACACACACACATTATACACACACACATATTATACACACACACACATTATACACACACACATTATACACACACACACACACTATACACACACACATTATACACACACACATTATACACACACACACACACACTATACACACACACATTATACACACACACATTATACACACACACACACACACTATACACAAACACATTATACACACACACACACACACACACTATACACACACACATTATACACACACACATATTATACACACACACATATTATACACACACACACACACATATTATACACACACACATTAAACACAGACACACACATATTATACACACACATACATATTATACACTCACACATATTATACACACATATTATACACACACATACATATTAAACACTCACACATATTATACACACACATATTATACACACACATTATACACAGACACACACATATTATACATACACACACTATACACACACACACATTATACACAGACACACACATATTATACACACACAAATTATACACAGACACACACACATTATACACAGACACACACATATTATACACACACACACATATTATACACACAGACACATATTATACACACACACACACATATTATACACACACACATTATACACAGACACACACATATTATACACACACATACATATTATACACTCACACATATTATACACACATATTATACACACACATACATATTATACACTCACACATATTATACACACACATATTATACACACACACATTATACACAGACACACACATATTATATACACACACACATATTATACACACACACACACACACATTATACACAGACACACACACATTATACACACACACACATATTATACACACACACACATATTATACACACACACACATATTATATACACACACACACAT